TAGCAAATTCTATTTTATTTTTTAAAACATATTGATGTAAATACATACACATATCGATTTGTTGTATAAATATTGCAAATCAAAACCTTTATTCACTAATAATTACCAAAAATCGTAGTTCTATCTCCTGTTATCAGTGCATTCACATTGCCCGCCATGAACTTCCGGGGAACGATCCTCGTCTACATGAACCACGTGACGATAACCGTTTTTGGACTTCCGTTGTCGTAACTCTTCTATTATACGGCTCTGGTTTAAACATAACAAAATAAACATACCAGTTGAAGTTGGGGGCCATTGTTCCTTCAGCCATCAGTGGAGGTAGTTCTGGCAACCCATTAGTGGTTATCAGTGCACGCCAAACTGGTAAGAGCCTCTAAGGTAGACCCAGAACCTGCTGTAAAGATGATATCGTCTGGCATTGGAACGCCTTGCGGTTTACCAGGAGAAGCTGGATAACGTTGCTAGGAAAAGGGAGTCTCCAATACTTTGCCTGTTGCCCTTTTCTTGCTGTCCCTGAAAAAGCAGAAACAAATGGATGGATCGCTGTTTCCCCTCGTTTTAATGCTAAGCTAACTAGTAGCTCCCTGTTGCTACATATTGCCAAGAGATTGCGTCCTTATTTAAAAAAACAAAAACAGAATTCTCATCTAACCTCGGCTTGGTTCCCAAAAATGAAGTGAACACTCCCTTTTAATGAGTTAAGCATTAAAGGTCCCATGTCATGGCCATTTCCACTGATCATAATTCCATTGTTGAGGTCTACTAGAATAGATTTATACTGTGCAATTTTCCAAACTCACATTGTTTCGCATACAGCATCTCTGTAAACTACGTGTATTCACTCTCTCCACTAAACGGCTCGTTGCAGCTCTTGCCCCCCCTCCCTGTGAGCCCAGTGTGCTCCGATTGGTCAGCTCGGCCCCTCTGTTCTGATTTGTCAACCACCAGAGAGGCTCTGCCCCTGTTGACATCTGCCGTAAAGTGGTTTAGCGGGTACTTAGCCCACTTAGCCCATGGTGTTTTTTCGGCTCTGAGCGGAGTAGCAGAAATGAAATGGCGTCAGTAAAGCCATATATGTACAAACCGGAGTCCGACCCTGAGAGTGAAACGGATCGTGATGGACCTGATCCACCGTCCCAAACAAGAATACAGCAGGCGGTTTCACAGTGGAACGTTTTAATTTTGTATAGCTGCTACATTTCAGATGTAATGTTAGAACTTCATCATGTACAGTGCTTGAATTGGAATGAAAAAGGTGCCAGTACTCTAAAATCAGCAACTTTTTCAAGTCAATTTTATATATACAGCCCACAAACAAGAATTTGGCTACTATAATGCTGGTGGGTTTGTCTCTTTACTACTGTATATTTTAGAAAGGTTCACTGTACTTAACATTTTTTATGATAGGCAGCGGATATGGCTAAAGCTCAATAAGGTCAATATTAACTGAAAATATAGCAATCAAAGTCTAGATCTTCTGCTGAAGACACATGAAGCAGAGACCTTTCAGGTGAGAGCCCCTCTGGTGGTGTTCAACATTAATGACAAGGAAACAAAGCTCTGGTCAGAAGCATTTTTTATAAAAAGCTTTAACAAAATTAAGTATTTCTGTACATTTTGAATGCAATCTAACTTTCCAACTCAGAAAACGAAAAACGAAAAAGTGCCAAAAGTCTTCTCACATGGCTGAGCTGCTTTGCAATATACTTCACCACTGAAGAATACAAATATGTATAAAGTAAACTATGATGCAATCTAACTTTCCAACTCAGAAAAATGATAAAGAGCATGAACAAAGAACATGTAAAAACAAATGCAAAATTTGCACAATCTAAAATGAGAAATGTAACTGCAAGTAACAAAGTCTGAGCCATGGTAAAGAGTTACATTGAACACCAAGCTGATCAGATAACTCCCTGGTTGGTCTGAAGTCCTTCTATCTCCAGGATCTGTACAAATCGGCACATTATGCCAAAAGTCTTCTCACTGGGTGAGCTGCTTTGCAATATACTTCACATTGTTAGAAAAGGCTCCAGAAGGCCTTGGGGACATCAGTATCAGGGGCTGGAGCTGGACAGGCTCTTTCATCAGCACTTCTCCTTCCCTTTGCCAGCCAGGACCTCACATACTGTTCTGGATTGAACTGTCCTAGTGATGGTCCATTACATTTAATGAAAACCAGGCTGGACAGTCGGCTGACAGAGAGAGCATTCCTTTTTGCAGTAAGGATATCGTTCATGCAGCTGAATGCCCGCTCACACTCACTAGTGGAGACAGCGATGGTTCGGACTGCTTTCAGTAGAGAATCCATGGCAGCAGGTGTACGGGATGCCCTGGTTTCCTTGTATTCGCGAAAGCCCTGAACAGTCTCTCTTCTGTCCACTTTCAGCACTTCGCACAAACGTAGCACCTCTACGTCCCCATACTGTACGTCTAACTCCTCTTCAGGCCAACTTCCAGGATGGATAACTTTCATGTCCTGGATTAGCTGATTGTCCCGGGCCTCCCGGCCATGTAATGGGATTTCTCTTGTGCTGACATGAGAGGAGGTTGTGGAAGTCATTCTGTGTCTCAGATTCTCTACCATACTGCGGAAAAACTGACCTGCATGAATCTGTACAAGCCTGCCATTCTCACGCAGGGCAACACCATTGAAGGACTTCTCAGCTAGAGCTGTATGAACTGTAGTCATGTGTGGGCCAGGCATGGTGACCATGGATTCAAAAACTCGTATTTCTCGAGTTAAGAGCCTATCTGCTGTAGGCAGTGTCATCTCTCTTTTTTGGAGTTGCCGAGAGAGGTCGCTGAGCTCTGTGAGCGCATCGTACATCAGTCCCAGATTGCTGACAAACGTTGCAGATGTGAGCACATCATCCAGGCCCTTGTACTTTGCTCTGTCTCTGGAATCCCTGCTCGTGTCGTTTGCAGCATTTGTGAAGTGATCATGAAGCACTCGGTAGTTTTCCCAGACTGCTCTGACGCTCCTTTCACTTGAAGCCACCCAGCGGATGGACAAAACACGCCCTATCACCAGGAGACGCTGTCCGACTGCTTGCGCACACTGTGCTAACTGCCTCTGATTTTTGGGGGAGGCATGGAACAAGGAATAGAGTTTGTCAAAAAAGATCTGGAAATGATTGAGCCCTGAGACCTCCTTGACCACATCCCCAACTGCCAGCTCTAGACGATGATTGGAGCAGTGCCACACAAACAGGCTTGGGAATTTACTACACAACTGGGTAGCAACGCCTGTTCTCTTCCCTAGCATGACTGAAGCCCCATCACATGCAAAAGAAACGAAACACTGACCTAAAAAGTCCTCGTTAAAATCTCTTCCAAGACACTCCATTAACGCCTTTGTGATGTCATCAGCCGTTGTTCCATCCAACTGGATCAGCTCCCAAAAAAACGTTTCGGGCTCAGCATCAGCTAATGCTGAGCGTAGACACACAACAAGCACCGTTTTACCACTAATAGTGGTAGATTCATCGACCAAAACACAGTTTTCTTTGGTTTTCTGTAATGTCTTTTGCCATTTTTTTCTTCAGCTCATGAGCTATGTGGTCGATGATTTCGCCACAGGTTTTATTGGAGTGCAAAACCCTTCCCACGTTCAGCCCATTCAGTTTCTGTACATTCAAATCAATTGGCATGTCTGTGAATGGCCGGCTATGTTTGCCAATTTGATATGCCGTTCGAAAAACTCTGATAGTGGTGTCTAATTCAGATTTATGCATAGACTGCACTTGATGTTGAATAGTTTCACGTGAAGCAGATGTAAGGATGTCAGCAGCTTTTACATGGGCTTGTGATTCTTTATGTTCTTTGATTTTTTTTCTCAGGCTAGCTTGTTGTTTGCCCTTGTCAACACCGAAATGAGACACTGCACACTCACCCCATTCAGTTGACAGTTTCAGTCCTTGTCCAGTGTGTATTCCCAAAGATTTGACATCTCTGCATATCCGACATCCTAGCTTCTTATCTTTAAGGAGCCATGCATTGGTCTTGCAAAAATATTGCACCTGGTCCGTTGTCCAGCAGTCAGGTGCATCGCTTTGCCCGGTGTTGGTGGTGGCAGTTGCGCCAGCAGCAGCTAACGTTAGAGGCTCTGGAGGAGGCGGCGGAGCTAGTGCTAATGCTAATGCACTAGAACTTGGAGCAGGAGGATCAACCAAAGAAAGCTCCCCATCAGACACAATTTCCAACACAGGCACAGCATTCTCTGTATTTGAAGTTTCTTCCGGCGACAACCGCTGTCTTTTTGCACTTTTATTAATCCACGCTAACATTTTAGAAATGCTAATTTGTGACGTGACTTACTTTCCTTCTCTCGGGGGCGTGCCTGCTCTGTTCTATCACTCTACATAGCCACCCACTGGGTGGGAGTTGCACTGCATAAACACAACACACGTGCATCTAGGTATGTAAATTGTAAAGCATTAAAACATGGTTTTACTAACAGTTTTCAGTATGTTGTTACTTCGGCATTATTATTATTATTATTTTTGAAACGTGTATTACTATTAAATCACGGTCAAATAGGTTAATTTTGACATAGTCGTTTCCACCACAGTATTTACATGGAGAAGATAAGCCCCGCCCCCTCTCCAGCACGTTCTGTTTGAATGACAGGAGTAAACAGCTGACAGCCGCTGTGAAACTCCAGCGGTGAGAGCGATGAGAATGTCCGTTCGGCACCTCATGACGCATCTACTGAGTACCGGGCGGCTGTATATATATATATGGATGTATAATAAGAACGGCGGGAGAGTGTTGAGTACTGGCACGGTGCATGAGTACCGGAGTACCGCCAGCATGCCGGTACTGAGCAAGAAGTGCCGGTAGTCCATGGGTCAGAACCAGAAGTGCCGGTACTGCGTACCGGTGAGTACCGGCCCAATTCCAGCACTGAGTATCTACATCACAGTAACAAGTGTGTCCGCTGACTAACCAAACTTTCCAACTGTTATTTAGGTGCACGTGTGGAAACTGCGCAGTAATGCCAACCGAGGTGGAAGACCTCTGTTGCAGGGAGATTAGAAAGGTGACAGTGTAGTGCCGATGAAAGGGAGTCGGGGGCGGTGTGTTTAGAATCAGGTAAAATACATGTCTGCTCTGTCTGACAAGCTAGGAATGACAAGCTAAACCTAAGAGCACACACTAAAGGGTCCGTGTGGCAACACTATACCAAAGGTGAATTATGGTCAAAACAGGGTGTCACCACAACAAATACAAAAACACCAACAGTAGCACACAACATTATATACACCATACATACTTGTCAAGTCAATAGACTATATGCCCTTTTATTTATTCTATAGTAATTGAATGTTTATTTTGTTATATTATTTTATAAACCTCGCCATAGTTGGATTTAATTGCTAAACGTATTATGTTACAAATATCTTATCCTCCTATAGGTTTTAACACGAATGCACCAAGTCCCAGAACCCATTGTGTGCATGGTTGACCACCCCGGACTAGAACCAAACTGCCTCAATCCCTACACCCTGCAGAACCTCCACAATATTTATCTGTTTGATTATGGACCTTTGAGGCGTAGAACTGAAGAAGAGTAAGTTATTTTTAGCTATAATAAACTACTACTGTATTAGATGAAAAATCAAATAATGGTTTGCTATATATGAATGATCTAGGAGCAAATAATTCAGGGAAGAAAGGCTATCAAGTAGTTCCATCAAACTTTATTTTGATAAATGTACAAATTGATTATGTGTATATATACACTGTATGAGATAAGATGGACCTTTATTAATCCCTGTGGGGAAATTCAGTTGTTCAAGCAGCCAGAGGGTAAGGGTGAAAAACAGGACAGCACATATATGTTATCATCCATTCCTCCTCTTATAGGCGTTTTAGGCAACTGGCCTATCGCAGCTTCGTAAGCTGGTGCTGGGGCTTTTTGGGACGAGGAATCAGAGTGGTCATCCCGTCGTGTGTGGTCCGCCGGATACGCCAGGAGTTCCCTGATCCGGCTGGACAGTACGTGGTCTTCCGACCGCCCCTAGACTAAAACGTGAGACATGGCGGGCTACCACTTCCTCCTTTGAGGGCCTGTCAAATTGAGTGGACAGGTCCTTTGGGATGTTGATTTTATTCATCTCCTCCACAAAGGGTGTTGGGTCCTCAAAGACTTCTTCAAACACCAGCCTCATCAGCTCACCCACATACACTGAAAAATATAACATTCATATAATAATTAATTATATACACTTATTCATTTCTCTTTTATTCTTTCATTGTACAGATTTGGTCTCCCCTGGTGGTGTAGTTGCTAGAAAATCTTCAGCTGATCAGTTTTCCACTTGTGGATAATAGCAGGCTCCAGATAATGCCTAGCATGCCTCCTGAAGGTCTCATACTGGAAGATCTCCAGCTGCATGGCTCTGCATATCTATGAATAAATAGAAAAACAGGACAAGTATTTGAAAAAGTCCACTTCTGTCATTTTTCATATGCTATGGATGTAAGATGGTAAAATACCTTTTTTAGTTGGAAGAAGGAAGCACTAGTGAAGTATGTAGCAGCAGATAATTGTAAGTTGCCAACCGGGGTACCCTCTGAGTTCCCACACAAACAAACAGTCTGTGGACGGTCTGTTTGACATCCGACTGTACTGGAGCGGTGGGTATTGTGTTCCTGCTGTGATGTACTCTAAGAAAGATACACATAGTATTAGGGCTGTGCAATTAATCGTATTTTATTCGCGATTACGATTATGGCTTGCGACGATTATGAAAACAGCATAATTGACAAAATACGATTATTTTTGCTGGGTGCGCTTTCGCCCCTCCCTAAAAGCCCACTCGGTGACGTGGGAGTGACATGTGTTGTGAGTGTTCAGCGAGAGCGAAGATGTCAGAACAAGAGCAGCAACTCGTTAAAAAGAAGGGTAAAACTATTTCCACTATTTGCAAGTACTTTGCCATTACATTTCACATCGCTAAAGATATGTGCCCAGTTAGCACTGTTAGCAACCAGGGCTTTAAGCAACTTGTCAACACGTTGGACAAGCGTTACGCGATGCCGTCTCGGTATTATTTCAGCAGGTCTGCGCTGCCTGCGCTATATGACAAATGCCGTGGGGAAGTTGAGAGATGTGGCTTCAGCTGAGTACTTTGCTACCACAACAGACCTATGGTCTAGCCCAGGGGTGCCCAACCAGTCGATCGCAAGATGTGTCTAAAAATAGAACAACAATATTCTGTTTTATCGTTAATGTCCTGTAACATAATCTTCCTGTGCCAGAATAATGCACTTGAACGCATCAAAGCTTTTTGATTGGCCGGCGTCACCCCATGTGTCGGGGCGTGGCTGAGGGTCTTCAGTACAGGTGGCAATATCGTCACCTGCCTGCGCTCATCTCTGAAACCAGACCATGTCAACAGGCTGTTGTTTCTTGCAAAAAATCTTTAAGAGATTACATGAGCAGCCCTACCAGCATTTGCCATGGTGGCCTAAACATTTGTATTTGGTCTTAAATTGTAGTTCAACATTTATTTCCTGTTACTTCTGGACCATGACGGTTGGCCAGCCTTCAACGTTTAACTGAGTGGAATAATGAATATGTTTTACCAAAATGTTGGCTATATGTTAAGGAGTTTTCAGTAGGTTGTGACAGTGCACTGCAACATATTGGATTTAATTTATTTTGGTCTAATTTATTTGTATTTATCATATTAATAATAAATGTTTAGTATGGTTTTGGAAGTGCGCTCCAACATATTTGTTGATCTTGTTTATTGGTAAAATATTATTTGTTTTAAAGTTCAATAAATGGTCAATGAATAATCGTCAAAAATAATCGTGATATCAATTATTGACCCAAATAATCGTGATTATGATTTTTGCCATAATCGCACAGCCCTACATAGTATTCATACAATTAATTTTGTATCCGAGGAAAACAGTCAATTTCATAAAAGCAACACTTTTACAATTACAATGTTCTACAGATAGTCTGCTACGTTCGGTCATTCATTGTAGCTGGCATGAAAACAATGTTTTTCATAACATCTCTAGGTTAGAGCTTCTAGCTTAGCTTATTAATGGTAGCTCGGTAGAATACACGAACGGCAACTGTAATTACTGACCGTATGGTTAAATCACCCGGAGTATACTGTCTATGAGTATTTCGTGTGTGTTTGCAGACATTCTCCTGCTATGAGATACATGTAAGGCCATGTGCTAACATCGGTGTTGAGGTCTGGGAATGCTAGGTAGCCCTCGTGTTTACCTCGGTAGCATTAGCATAGCATAGCATTTACACAGTCGTGGTAGATACATTGTTTGTTTTAAACATAATAAATACACAAACCACAATGAATACTTACAGGTTGTGTACCCGAATCTCCCGCTGGTCCAAACAAAGTAGGAACAGCATCGTCCTCCAATATCAGCTTTTCAAGTCCGAAGCTAAACATTGTTAAGCTTTGGTCCGTGAAATGCCGCGCACACACAACAGTACCGGCTGGTAAATCAGCTGGAACAGTGTTAAAAAGGAATGTCAACCACTGACTTCGTCGTTGTTCTGCCTTGGTACTGCAAACATTGTGGATTTATCCACACAATACAGGCAACATACCCTCCGCGACATGACTGGATATAGCTTTGAAAAGAAGCAGGTTTTACGACACTTAATATGGTCGACTGGCAGAGGAAGTGACGTCACGCGGTGCAGCTACGTCACGCGGGGCAGGAAGTAAACAATGGAAACTGAGAAATCTCCAACGAGGCTTTTGGGGGAGGTATTTTCTGTGTTAGAGTTTACTCGCTACAGGTGTACTTTGAGGGTTTTGACTTTGCAGACTGTTTACATGCATAAAAACCTTCATAACACACAAGGGGACGGGCAATAACTGAGATTACCTACTGTAACCCAGCTTCTATGAGTATTGGCGCAGCCCTCTCAGGCTATCGCTATTGGGTTTACCCTTCTGCGCCCCCGCGCAGTACTGAAAACACTTGTAGTCCGAGGGTGGGGCCCACCCGCTAGGTGGGCCCCACCCTCGGGCCTCCTTCCGGTATAAATAGGGAGGTTGCCCGGCGATCTGCTCCCATACAATATAACTTTTCTTCAGCTATTCGTAGAGCCAGTGGGGCCCAGCGCTTAGAGGGCTGCGCCAATACTCATAGAAGCTGGATTACAGTAGGTAACCTCAGTTCTATTTCATATATGGCTTCGCCCTCTAAGGCTATCGCTATTGGGTTAAGGGCGAAGCATGATGTAGTCTGCGCCCCACTGGGTCCGTCCAGCACTAGAAGCACAGACATACCTGCTTAATAACACCCCCCTGCCTGTTGTGCCATGCGTAATGGCACGTCCCTGGAGCAAACATACCTGTTTTCCTGACGGGGTGAAGGCTGGGAACAATACATACCGACCGCTGTGAGAAAGTAGAGACGAAGGTCCCACCTTGTCCTGCGATCATAGAGGGGGAACAGCCGTTCTCTCCGTGTCAGCCAGGTAGGAGAGCTCTCAGCTGGATCCCTGACGTCACTCACTCTGACCAGGCACTCCCGACGAAGTGTGTCAGAGGAAGGGGGACGTCCCTCTCCTATGAGGGGGAAAAAGGGCCGCTCTCTGTGTGCACAGCGACGGTGGTGTGTTCTGGATGGGCTCCTGCCCACCCCAGACGTCTTCCTCACCCGCAGCAGAGCGTCCGCCCTTCGCTTCCTGTCGGATGAAGGAAGACGCACATAGTGAGGAAATGCGACCTGCTGGCTGAGAGCCGCGTCCGCGTGCTCTGGCCCCAGACAGGCTGCGCATATCGGATGCAAATCGTAGCTCATAATGTAGCCCGTATTGCTACGAAGGGCACATACGGACACACTCTTTATTGCTCATGATGTTGCTTTTCTCGTGCTTCAGTAAACTGCTGGTTGCTGAAGAAAAGAGGGAGCAGATCGCCGGGCAACCTCCCTATTTATACCGGAAGGAGGCCCGAGGGTGGGGCCCACCTAGCGGGTGGGCGTGGACTACAAGTGTTTTCAGTACTGCGCGGGGGCGCAGAAGGGTAAACCCAATAGCGATAGCCTTAGAGGGCGAAGCCATATACGAAATAGAACCGGAAAAGCATGACATGGGACCTAATGTAATGTTTTTAATGCTGCTCATGCCCATTTTAGTACAGACACAAAACCAGCAAAGGATTTAATGTGTGTCCACATCAATCACCCTTTGCTTTGACACAAGTATTTTTTCAAACATGTTGGATAGTTATTTTAATAAAATATGAGTTTATTACTCAAGTAACAAATAACAACTTAAAGCATATATGCTATGGGTTTTTATTAACTCATTTATTTATGACATTCAATACAAATAGACTGGAGGTTTGGCAGAAAGTAATGGATAACAGATTAGAAACTCAGTTTGGATTCAAAACCACAACACACATATGCAGCTAGGAAACTGGAGTAGAGTTCTCTAGGAGTTTTGACTCCTGATGGATATGAAGGAAGATGTTTTTTTGTCTCAGTTGTTCAGAGTTCTCCTCCATTTGTCTTTCCTCAGCTCTCCCTTCCCCTGCTCCGATGCTTCACCATATTTCACCCTGCCAGACCTTCCCATCTTCATGGCTCTTCCAGCACCCTCCCTGCTTGTCCTCTGTCTTTGTTATTTAGTTTTTTTGATCATCAGTACCCCCTATCCATCTCCCTCCCATCCACTGACCTTCTACCTTCTTACCTCCCTCCATCTTTCTCTCTGTTAGATGAGGTGAATGAGAGGAAAGAAAGAGATTGCACCCTGACGCGAAAGATGCCAAATGTCTGGGTCACTCACACACTGAGAGCCCACCGCTGTGTGTGTGTGTGTGTGTGTGTGTGTGTGTGTGTGTGTGTGTGTGTGTGTGTGTGTGTGTGTGTGTGTGTGTGTGTGTGTGTGTGTGTGTGTGTGTGTGTGTGTGTGTGTGTGTGTGTGTGTGTGTGTGTGTGTGTGTGTGTGTGTGTGTGTGTGTATGTCCTGCCCTAAAATGCATGCCTACACACAGACACGTGCACACATAGATAAACACAGTGCTATATAACGGTATGAAAGCAAGGCCAAAATCATGCTGGGTAAATTGTGGGTTTTGAGTCTCTTTTTAACTTCAGCTTACAGAAGCACTTCAGTCTTCAATACTAAAATACAACCCGACAATGCTTTATACTGAGACTTATCATCAGGATGTCACAACATGATATTTTGAAAGAAGAGCACATAGAATTAGGGCTATTGTGTTCAGATGGTTCTATTTTGGCCCATTGTAGGATACTGTAATAACTCCACTAAACACCTGATTCTGTGGAATGGCTTCACACTTGTGGCATTATCCTCTTAATCATTTTTCTCTTTTGACAAATCGTAGGTCATGGTAGTTGTTTTGTAGCTTAAAGTTGTATCACAAAACCAACATTTCATGACAATTGTGCCAAGGAAGATCTAAAGCTCGAAATTGACCTTGTGGTGATTTATTTTTGGTGAACAAAGCTCTTTTTTTGCGTAAGTAACAGTCAGTAAAATATAAAGAGAACTGGAAACAGCGTGGACCTTTTAATTCCTATGAAAGTTGCTCTGTGGCGTAATAAAAAGGAGTAAATAATAGTAACATATCATTGTATTATGACCAGTCAGCAGGACTACAGAAAAACTACTGTCATGATTTTTAATGAATCTCTGTGAAAGGGCCACGGAAGAACCCATTTAATTTTGGAGCAGTTCCAATCACGGGGCAGATTCAGAAATAATTGTTTCCTTTCGTTAAAATTGTTTATAGGGCAAAGTAATACATTCTATCTTAATACATATTGTTTTCCCAAGTAGATGTGGTTATAAAGGCAGTTGCTGTCTCTTTGTAATTTCTGAAGCAAAGTTTTTTTGTGTTGAACAGCCTCACACAGACTGCCCAATTCATGCATTAAACATGTGGAAAAATCTTGCTTACACTCTTTGATGTTTTTTTCTTCTTCCACATCCCACTCCAAGGACAGTTCCTCTTATTGTCTGCACCACTAAGTGAGTGATCGCCAAGCAGCTGTTGTCTCTGGAGGACCTAAAACTGTTTCCACATACACAGCAATTACTCATACACTGACCACTTATAGTCAGTGAGTGGAGGACGGTGTGGGAGCAAGTGCAAAAAGGAGGCTACTATCCATTGTCTGCGTATTCTCACACAAACACATTGAAGGAAGTATAAAAGTGTCAATATGCTCTAATTGGCTGCTTTCCTGACATTTATACAGCCTGGGTGAGCGGATAGTGAAGAATACAGAGATACAACGAAAGCTCTGGCTCTGTCCTTGCATACTAAAGGGAAAGGGTTGTAGATAAATGTTGTTCTCCACACAGCTCGCTTCTCCCATATATCTCTGTTAGACCACAGCCAGCCATGACTGCACTAGACAAGGCCAAGCTTTCAGTCCGTGTGCATCTTAATGTGTGTGTGTGTGTGTGTGTTTATGAGAATGGATGGGACAGGTGTGTTTTCTGCCTTTGAGCATTTATGGTTAGCAGATAACTCAGCGTGTTGTGTTTCTTGTCAGTCTGTATGAAGTGTTGTTTAACCTGCTTTAAATGCCTGCCCTTCACGTCGACAACTTCTAAGATTCTACTAAAGTGCTGCAAAAAGTGGCTAGCGCTGATTTTCAAAATAAAGATGTTTATTTATAATGCTTTTTTATTTTCAATTCAAATATGGGTTTCTTTTGTGTTACTCTTGTAAAAATGTGTTTCTGGTTAGTGTCAATGGTGACAGCGGGCTGAAGTGTGATTTAACATAAAAAATAAAAAAACATTTTATCACAATAATACGTGTTTTTTCTCCTTTTAGGTTTGATTTCACAATGTGTTTGTATGTGTATTTACAATAAGAAGCATACATTTCATCAAACAATAAGAAAGCCAGTGTGTTTTTGTTGTATCATTTTTAGGAAACATTTATTTGATGTTTTTGTATAAAGACTGATGAAAATTTGTTGGGACAACATCAGCATCACACTGGTTTCCTTGACAACATTTGTAATTTTTTCATTGAATGTTAGATTGTCTCAGAAATCAAGTTCTGTGGCAAACAAACGTTTTGAAAACGTACACGCTTTGTTTAGCCAGAAAATCTCCACGAATAATACCCTTTTTTCATACAAAAGGAAGATCTGCAAAAGTAAAAATATGTAAAGCTAAAAACATAATACATGAAGACTGCATGGCCTCACGTCAATACTGCTAAGCTAATGTTTGTCAAGATGACTTTAAGTAGTCTTATTTAGCCACTTGTTAGCAACAGCTGCATTTGAAACACGTAAAAGTCTCCAATTTATGAGTGAAGTATTTACGGACATGTTTGCCGCTGTAGAACATAATGTAAAAATCTTTGAGTGACATCCCTAACACTTTCGCTTCTATTGGCTAGCATTCCAACTCATTGTACGTGATAGAGATATTCCGCCCTTTAGCCTAACGGTTGACCAATCACAACAGAGCCGGCCAGCTTTCCAATCAGAGCAGACTGGGCTCAGAGGCCTGTACTACGAAGCTGGTTCAACCTAACCTGGATATGTTTGAGTTAGCCGGTTGGCCTAATCCAAAACATACGCGCTCTCGCTAAACTGTACGACGCGGGTTATCAAGTGGATCGCTCAAGCCAGCCGTGTCCTATCTAGTTAGGTGCGCGTTCACATGAAAGGGGTGGTATTTGGAGCATTCGACCAATCACAAACATGGACAAGCGTAGGCCTACTGACAGCGCAGCGTCATA